GGTTGGGCAGAGCAGGGGAGGACTAGGGATAGGGCTGTATGCATGGACTTGGGGCCCAGGCCATGTGTGGCTGCAGGGCTCGTGTGGGGAGCAGGATGGGGCCATGGGTGGCTCCTTCGGGGGGTGGGAAGGGCTGGCTCCCCACCACTGTGCACTCTCCCAGGGGAGACATGGGGGGGTATGTGCCCCCCAGATATGTGCATAGTGCAGGGACAGGTGCAGACTAGCCCCTGCGGGCTTGGGGCTCCCCGTCTGTACGATCCAGTGGGCAGGACCCAGCATGGCAGGGCAGAGTAAAGTGAGGAAGTTCAGTGCTGCTGCCATGAGTTCTGCGTTGCCGTGATGAGGCACCCCTCTGCCCACAGCACTGGGGCTGGCAACATGGAGTTGTGTTCTTCATGGCTGCTGGGTGGTCAGGGTGCACCTTGCAATGGTATTACAGAGATCCCAGCAGCGGCACAGAGCTTCCCTACCCGGCCCCACTCTGCCCTGCCATGCCAGGGGGCCACAGAAGCCCTGCCTGCGGGGCCACAGAAGCCCTGGGATGGGCAGCAGGGTGGAGAGCTCAAGTCTGCAGCAGGCAGGCCACACTCACCCCCACCTTCACAGACTCTGCTCTAGGCATGCTGGCCACGGGGGAGGGGGAGCCAGGCTCCACACTCCACTCTGCTATAGCAGCTGCTGCCTCCTTCAGCTGGCAGCCAGAGTTCAGGTGCTGCTGCAGGGGCCAGGGGGCTGTGGACCCGGGTCCCTGGCCCTGTAGCTCTGGAAGCTGGAGGCCCCCTGCTGCATGGCTGGGGAGCTGTGGGTGGGGAGTGAGGAGCACCAGCAGGGCCAGGGGGTTGTGGCTTGGAAGTGAGGGGCTGGACCTGTGTCCCGGTGAGCGAAGGGGGCAGGGAGATAAAAAACAATGATAAAAAACCCAAAATCAAATGCTAAAATTTATAGGTATTTAGAATTAATTTTATTATAGTGATTGAGGCACTGGTAAGCTATCAAATTGCTTTAAAATTGTAAATATATCAATAAAACATTGTGTTCAACTGGTAACTATATATTTTAGACTAATCTAATGTACAGTAAAGTGTCACCATCTACATGTGCACTGGACTTACTGCATATTAAATTAGTCTAACATGCCATTTGCTAATACCAACACATACAGTGGTGCATTAGGTAATGCACAGCAGTGCACAGGTAGATAATGACGAGAAACAAAATTGTCACTGGTCAGCAGAAGCAGCAGGATGCCACTGCTGCCTGGCTAAGTCCTGATGTGGTGGTAGCTGTGCTGGCTGCAGGGGCAGTTGTCTCCTAATCCCATGCACATTGGGACCCATCCTGATGTGCACAGTACTAGGAGAGCTGTGCTGGCTGTAGGGGCCTCCCAGCTCTGTGCTCATCAGGACCCATCTGATGTACATGAGGGTGGAAGACAGCTGCCCCTGCAGCTGGCACAGCTCTCCTGGCCCTGTGTACATAGCGACTGGCCCCCATTCACCCTGCCAGCTCCTGGGCTGGCACCTGAGGGAGCCTGGACCCCCTACCCTGGCTACTTCAGAGGGGCACAGCAAGGCAGGAGCAGTCATGGACAAGGCTACACCCCTTGGGTGAAAATCTGTGCCTGACATGGTATATGTGTAGATGCGTTCATGGCCACATCTTATTGCACCTTGTTTTACTGCATAGTAACCTTACTGAGCATTAATTGCATATGTAGACACACCAATTGGGTATGATCCTAGCCTACGTAGCACCATACTATTGACTCGAAGGACCCCTGAAGGCCCAATCCAGTCTCCTGAACTGGGGGGCAGGCATGTGCTCCTTCCCTCAAAGGGCTAATCCTCTGCTCCAGATCCAGGCAGCTGTCCCCCAGCCAGGAGAGTATGGTAGTGGTGGGGGGGGCAGGGAGAAGAGTGGCCTTCCTCCCCAGTTTCCTCCTGTATTCTTGGATGGGAAGAGGAAAAGGGCTCCTACTGCTGAGCATGGTGAGAGCATAGAGCCCAGGGAGGCATGCTTCCACAGGGTCCACATGGAAAGGGTCCATGCTGTCACCAGAGTTAATCACCAGCAGCAGAGCCAGTGGCAGTGTGAGTAATGGAGTTCAGATAGGCATTCTTCCCTGGACTCTGTGCTCTTGCTGTGTTTAACCTCCAGAGCTCCACTCCTAGAAGAGGGATAGAGTCCTGGCTTCTGGCCACACTCTTGCTCACTAGGGCTGTGCAAAACAGCACTGTTCTATTTCGACTTGCGTTTCGACATTTCGACGGAACAGAATTTGTTTTGAATTTCATTTTGATTTGAAACCGTGGTTCCCTTTTGTTTCATTGAAACAGTGATGCTGTTTCAATGCTTTTTCAAGTTTCACCCATTGGCTATAATGGGGAAGCTCGAAACAGCCTCTCTTATCTGGCAGGCTGATCTGGGGCCTACAACCCTGGGAGGGCTGCGGGGACTGTGACAGTCCTCCCAGGGTTGGGGGTCCCCGATCTGCCTGCCAGATGAGGGATGGAACCCAGGTGCTGCTGCCTGGGACTGGTGCCAGCATGTCACTGGTCCCAGGCAGCAGTGCATGCCTTCTCTCATCTGGCAGGCAGATCTGGGGCTGCAACCCCAGGAGGGCTGTGGGTGCTGTGCAATTGGGCTCAGTTCCCTTCCCCAGCCTGATGGATCGCAGCATTGGGGAGGGAAACTGAGCAATCTGGCTTGGTTCCCTTCCACACCCCAATGGATCATAGTGCTAGGGAAGGGAACTGAGTGATCAGGCTCAGTTCCCTTCCCCAGCCCAATGGGTCATAGCGCTGGGGAGGGGAACTGAGTGATTGGGCTGAGTTCCCTTCCCCAGCCTAATCCTAGTGCTGGGGAGAGGAACTCAGCTGGATCGCTTTGAAACTCGAAACGTTTTGAAACTTTCAAAACATTTTGACTGCCCTTGTTTTGCTTCAAGGCTGTTTTGGGGCCCTTTGTTTAATTTTGATTTCACTGTTTCAAGTTTGAACTGAGTCTAAATAGTATTGAAATGATACAGCTGGCAAAATTTCTCACAGCCCTACTGCTCCCTAGGCCCTCTAGTAGAAAGTCACAGTTGTGCAGGTCACAGATGGCATTAAACCATAACCTGTGAGTGCTCTGAAACTATTTCAACACAGTCCATGGGTGCCTGGTGCCTCCTGGGTCTGTGGGGGCACCAGCTCACCAATGGAGGGGGGATCCCCCAGAGGCCAATTGCCGACCAGGGGGAGGTCCCCCAGAGGCCAATTGCTGACTGGGGGTGTGTGGGGGATGGGGAGTCTCCCAACGGCCGATCGCCAAGTCAGCAGTGAAACAGGTGAAACCGGAAGCACGCTTCTGGTTTTGCAGCTGGAGCTTCCAGGGGGTGCATGGCTGATCTCTGGGGTGCACGTGCACTTGCGTGTACCCCCTACACGTCAACAGTGACACAGCCTAACACACCACAGATTTAGAGTGGTTTAAAGATAACATGTAACAGCACCATAGCAATATATTGGTATATGGCTTAACTATGTTTCTTACAATGGATCTACATTAAGAAGTCCTTCTAGGAACTTAGTAGCTGGGTAATCCCAGCCACACAGGGCAAAATAGGTGGTTGTTCAAAGGAATTGTTATCTGAATGATTTGCTATGGTCTGGACAAACCCCTAGCCATGCAAGGATTTAGAGTTCAAAGGCAAGCAATGATCATATATGGGCCTGTTGCAATGTTCAGATAGGAAAGCTCCCTATCTGTTAAAATGAGAACAGTATTTAACCATATAAAGTGCTTCTCTCACAATATGACAGTTCTGTTCAAATATAATGTTTTGGGCACCATCTATAAATATACACCATCACTACATTATCCTCGTTCTCATCTCATCTCAAATGCTTCTTTGTCATCATGCTTACAAAATATTCAACACTGGGTAGACAGCTGGTACACACAGGTGCTGCTTTGATCACAACCATTCTTTGTTACCTTGTATTTCCTACCCCACCTGACTTTTGTACTCTCATCGATTTTCTCACTTTCTGGTTAAATTGTAAACTGTTTTGTATAGAAACTACCACAACAGCGTCTAGAACCATGCCCCAAACATTACCATGAAAGATGTCATGATGAAGAAGAAATTAAGGATGTTTACAAATAATTTATATGTTCTATTTCAGCTGTCACCGTATTCATACAACTTCTACTGTGTTCATTTGAAACTGAAGGTTTTGTTATAAGGGTGCTGAATGTTTATGGCAGCTGTCAGAATATACTTTTTCCACACTTTTCAGGGTTTGAGCATACTTCCCTGCACTGGCCTAAGAGAAACACAGTCTTCTCAGAGCATCAAGGTTTTGTCAGACAAAATTATTGGTAGTAGTGTAATGAAAGCGTGGCAACCAGGGCAGCTGCTCCAGATGCTGACTTAGGGTAAGGGGCATAAAAATTTCAGCACTACCACCCTAGCCATATGATTATGCTGGAAGCACCGCAGCAGCCAAGAGTCACTGCTGCCCCGCACGTCCAACAGCTTCAGGTACTATGGCTGCTTTATTATGCCTCTGTTATTGGAGACTCTTTAAGTGGGCATGGAAAGTAGTTGCTTCTGTTTTAAAATCTGTAAACACAATCAGTCTAGGTAGCCTTTTTGTACACAACTATATGCATGTTTGGGTATACTATTTAAGCACAGACCATGATAGGTGCAGCACAAATCTTCACTATTCAAACTGGGAGCAGAAGAACCCATTGTCTACAGTTCTGCCTGGCCTTTAGTGGTTTGTCTTGGTTGGGATTTAAAGGTTACTTTCCAATTTACACGTTCTAACCAAAATCTTTATTATAGACAAAGCAATGCACACTGCTGCATGTGCTGAAGAACTTCACCAAATACAAAGGAAACAAAACATTTCCTTGAACATGTGCACAACCACTAGTGCTTTGCTGAATTTGTGCTTTAAACCATTCTCAGATTAATTCTCAGACATTTTTTTCTTCATTCATAGTTAAAGTACAAGGACTGTGAGAAAGTTGTCAGAAAGTACAACATAAATGGACAAAGATTTTTGGTAAGTAAGACTATTCAGTATCATGAGAAAAATGTCACATGGTTTTCCTTGGGATTTGTATTGGGAGTGCTTTTTGTTGGGAGGATCTCTGCATCAGGTCTTGCCCATGTCCCATGGGGATGGGCCCCAGAAGTAACTCATTACATGGCCATATATCTACTATGCTCAGCTGCTTTCTGGCAGTGAAACTGCTGATTAAAATCCACCAAAGATTCTTCTTTGAAAACAGTACATTGAGTATCAGGAACCCAATAATAGTGCTTAGCTTACAAATGTGTTGAAACTAAAACTGAAGGTGCACAGCTTCAATATTTTCCTTTCCAGAACATAATTGCTTTTCATATATTGGCAATAATAATCTGCAGTTTATCAGATTTCCAATAGCTACCATTATACAGAATTAGGTGGTAGTGGACTGCACAAGTTAGCATTCTTTTGGAGACATATATGCCAAGGGCTTCTACTTATGTCATGATAGTTAAAAAAAAAGTATTATTTCCCCAAACAGTATGCATACTCAATGCTTTGTTAAAATCATAACAAACTAACAGATAAGATCCAAATCAGTATGGTTGCATAGGGATTAATGATTTTTACCTCCTAAGGGCCTAGCTTAATATTTTTTTTTAAATGGCAAACCATTTTTCTCATTTGTACACCTATCATGGTCTAGTCTGAATTCCAACTCGCTGATATGTAGCTTAGCATTTCTATTTTAATGAAAACTCTCTGTGGTGCAGTTTAGAAACCAGAATACCCTTGAACCCCTGTCTCCCTGGGAAGGGAAAAAAAAGACAGCAGAATTTCCAAGCCAAAACTGATTCTACACTTCTGTAAATGCCCACATAAAAAAGACAGTAATATAGAAAGGAAGCTATTCTGCCTATTGATCAAACAACCTACAGAATCTAAACCCCCATTACTTTTGAATATCTGTTACTACCATAAACATAGGGATTATTTAATCAGGAAATCTACAATCTCTAGAAATGGTAGTATCCCTTGTGGTGATATTTTTATTTGAGAGAGAGAAACAATAGAGATTTGACAGCAGGATCTAACTGTCATTGACTATCTTCTAGAGAAAAGTTTATACTCAAGATATCATACATTTCTAAACAAATTGTTGGCAGCCTCTACTTCAGGGGCAGGCAATTATGTTGGCTGGACGGCCACTTATGAGTTCTGGTGAGCTGTTGAGCCCCACCCTTGGCAGTTGCCCTCCCTCCTGGTTGCCACCTTGGGACCAAAAGTCCTGCCCCTAACTCCTGACCTTTGTCATCACAAGTCCCTCCCCATGCTCCCCAGAAGTACTCCTTTTGGGAGGGGTGGGTTGCCATCTTGGAACCAGGAAAAAAAACAAATCATACACTAAAAGTCAAACACCTACTATAACATATTTTTAATTTCATTACAAAAAATATTTGCCATAATTTGTGTTTGTATAGCGGCTATACAGATGATTGCATAGTAGCTCAAAATAGTCTTACTTTTGTATATTGTGTGTGAGAGATGTGGGGATGGGGGGTGTATGGTGGTGTGTAGGGGGTTGTGAGGTGGTGTGGCTGTGTGGGCGGAAAATAGGGTATCTTGGGGGGTTTATATGAGGGAGGGTTGTGGGAGCAGGGTGTGGGTGTGTGAGGTTTGTGGGATGTGAGGGAGGGTGGGGGGCTGTGGGGACCCTCCTCAGCTCCTCCATGGCATACAGCCCCCACTGGTAGCAGCAGCAGCAGGTGTGGACACTCAAGGCTCCAGCTACCACTGCACATGGGGGTGAGGAGTGCAGCCTTGCTGTCCACCTCTATCACAGGGGTTCCTCGCGTGCATGTGCAGCTCCATGCTGTGCAGGTCCCAGGTCTGCAGGGAAGCAGGGGTTGGGGCTCCCCTCCACTTCTACCAGAGTCCCAGGACCTCCACAGTGGTGGGGAGGAGGGGTGGGAAAAGGCAGCCAGCTTCTGTCCGGAGCTTCCCTTGGAGCTTCCCGCGAGTGCAGAAGCTGAGCATGCGTGTGGGGAGCTCCCACAATAGAAGCAGCCCTGCCAGGCTGCACTCCTCGCCAAAATGTGCAGCACTGGTCAAAGCTGTGCACTGCTGGGCGCCATCACCTGCACTGGGCATGAGCACCCTGAGCACCCATTGCCTACTGCTGCTGCTGGGAGTGAGGGCTACGTGCCATGGAGGGAGTGTGTGGGGGGGTCCCTACACCCCCCTCACACTTACACCCTGCCGAGATGAGCTCCACACTGCTGCCAGACCCCTGGGTGTGGACTCTGTGCTGCCACCAGCCACAGCCCCATTCTTCCTGCCCCCACTTTGATTCCATTAAAGTATTCAGTCAAAGGATAACTAAAAATCCTGTATTTAAAGAAATACTTTTGCAATAAAGACTTATATTTTGTAGGTTTCAGCTAGTATTGCATAAATCTCCCTGGTTTCAGAATTTGTTGCAAGCATACAACTCCTACCGCAAGCAAAGCTCAGCCTTCTTAAGGGTTTCACATTGAAACTGTGCAAACTTCACATCTTCACATGAGTTTGCTGTGTAACCACAAGAAACGTCACATTAATTTAGCTTGGAGCTTTAAAATTTGTTCAAATTTCAGATTCATAGCAAAACTAAATGGTGTAAGCCCATGTGGAGCAAATTGGGGTGAACCCCTGAGGACCTAAACAACCAGGTGTAGTACATCTCTACCTCCCAAAACCAAGCATGGCTCTTTGTTTAGCACGCTGATTTATTGCTAGTAAAATGTGTGACTGATTTAAAAAGTGTTAAAAAAGGCATTTCCTATTCTTCAGCATTCTTTGGAAGAAGCAGAAAGTTCATATATTGCCAGAAGGAATGCCATAGACCTTCACTCGCTATGTGAATTGAGCCCACAAAGATGGGGGTACCATCTAAAACAGGGGTGGGCAATTATTTCAGCTGGCAGCCCACTTAATGAATGTTGGTAAGCTGTTGAGGGCCACATGCATACATTTTTTTTAAGAGATCATTTTAACAAATTATAGTTAAAAACCAAATCATATACTAAAAATCAAACATCTACTATTAACATATTTTACAAAAAATATTTTTGCCCTGATTTATGTTTTTTTGAGTAGTATATATAGAGGTGAATGCATAATAGCTCAGAATAGTCTTACTTTTGTATATTGTATGTGGGGGTGTGTGTGGTGGAGGATATATGTGTGTTTGTGCAGGGGGTTGGGGTGTGTGGGGGGGTTGTGTGGTGTGTGTGTATGTGTTTTGGGGGAGGTGGGAGGTGGGGTGTGGTGGGGTGTGCATGTGTGGGAGGAGCTACCCACATGCTAGGTACTGGGAGCTAGCCAGGGTGGAGGGAGAGAGGAAAGGAGGGGGATCTAGGGGGTGCATGCAGCAGAGCTCATCTGTGCAGTGCAGGTGCAAATGTGGTCCACCTTCCCCCATCTGGCTCATGACTGCCCCCGTGGTGCTCTGCATGGGGCTGAGCCCCACCTGCTCCTGCCCGAGGTATCCCATAGTGTGCTTCTGCTCACACCCACCCCCAGCCCAGGTCAGTGCACGCAGCTTCCCAGCAGAGGTGTTTTCAGTGTAGCCTTTCAGGTACTGCTCAACTTCCGCTACCTCAAGTGGTTCCTCCTCCTCCGTCTGCCCCTACTGCACCACTCCAGGCAGTGGGTAATAATAGGAAATGGCAGCGATGGCTATGGGGACATGTGCTAGGGACCACATGCCCAGCCAGGCAGGGGGGAGGAGGGGAAACTTCAGTCAGGCAGCTCCTGCCCCAGTGCATGGGGCTCCCACTCCAGCTCCTGGCTGCCTTCCACTCACTTGACTGCTCACAAGTGCCTGCTCATTGTGCCTGGTGGGCAGAATGGGTGGAAAGCAACCACAAGCCAGAGCTAGAGTCCTATATGCTGGGGCAGGAGCTGTCAGGTTGCACCTTCTTCCTGCACCCCACATGGCCACTGCTGCTTCCCATCATTACCTCTTGTCCAGAGCAGTGCAGCATGGGCAGGAGGAGGAGTTGCAGGGGAGTTGAGCAGTATCCGGGAAGCTGCAGCCTCACTGGGAACAGCTCCATTGGGAAGCTATGCATGCTGGCCAGGGGCTGGGGCTGGGACTGAGGCCAGCAGGGGCCACAGGCATGAGCACAGTGTGGGTTGCTCCTGGATGGATACAATCAATTGTGGGCATTTGCCTGTGGGCCAGATCCAATCAGTTGGTGGGCTGCATCCAGCCTGCTGGCGGTATTTTGCCCACCCCAATCTAAAATGGTATTTAGCTTTTTATATTTTAATATTAAATATGCTGGAGATTAATGAAACCAGCACACTGCCCAGGTATATCACTGACTGAGGACCAACCTCCAGCAAACAAGAGACAAGAAGGGAGAGGAAAGGAAAAAATAAACATGATTTAGTATTAAAATGCTTATTTTTGTTTTGAGTTGAGTTGCCTGTATAAGCCCGGGGGGTAATTTGGAAGTAGTTTCCAGTATGTTTGTAATTTTTTTCTTTGCCCTATGTTAGCTTTGCAGTGTTCAGGGAGGGTTTTTATTTCATGTTCTTAGGTTCATCAGGCTCAGGTGTGGGGTGAGGCACCATTTTAAATCACAAACAAAGTAACAACAGATGGTCAATTCAGCAAAGCACCGGCACAGACACTATTCAACAAATTACCTAAGCACATGCCTAACTTTGAGCATTCACATAGATGTGCCGATTTCATAAAATACTTAAAAGTTTGGCACAATAATATTCTTAAATTTAGTTTCTAAGCACTGAACAGAAACTTAAATACATATCTGCTCTGTATTAGTTTCTTGCCTACAGAACAAACTATTAACTATAACTTATTTAAAGCTTCCGTAATTCATAAGCTGTTTCACAGACAAGTTTGTAAAAAACTATTGTGTTTCTTTTTCAGAACATGTCTGAAAATGATATTCAGAAATTTCCCAAACTGCGAGTGCCGTAAGTAAAATTCAAAACAGTTACCCTCTTTCAAAACAGATATTAAACTGAAAGGATTGGAAATATACCATCATTTATTCTGAACAATATGCCCCCAAATAAAACATTCACTTTGTTTTCAGAAGGCAGAATGTAGAAAGAAAGATTTTTTTTCCAGAGTCACAGCTGACTGCATAACAGAGTAACCTGTTCCTTTAGAACATAGCGTGTCCAGGAAGCGTGGCATCCCAGGACACAACCTTAGGCCCCAGTTCCTTGCAAGAGTAATAGTTAGATTATTACTTCTCTACTGTTTCTGATTCTTAAATAATTCCTGTAAATAAGATGTTGTTCCCAAAGTACAAGCCTCATCAAGATATTACCAACAGTGCACTTGCTCTTCAAGCACAACCGACAGTGCTTAGTCACTAGCTATGGCTGTTAGCAGGTTAATGCAGGACTCCACCCCTTCAGCTTTCTGAGCCAGCACAAGTGGCACCCATCTTGGTATCTGCATGGCAAAAACAGTCTCCAGGCTTGCTTCTTTCCCCTTGCCCATGGCAGGGGGTTGGACTTCATGATCTGCTCAGGTCCCTTCCAACCCTACCAACTATGAAACAGTTTCCCCTCTTAATACATGCATACCTGTTATGTGTGGCTGATTAGGGTGTAAAATTGCATATGCATGCAAGAAAATATGGTAACTCATAGATAAGCATGAGGTTTTAAAATTATATTTTTATTAGAAAAAAGGTATCAATGAATTCTGCTGTTTGTAGAATTTAACTATGAAAAATAAATGGTTCTATTGTGAAAAATAAATTATTCTATTGAGACTGTTATGTAAGATACCTCCTTTTTTTAGTTTGATAAAATAGTTTTGTTATTTGATCATTTTTTCCTCTCTCACTGTTTTGATCACCTTGGCTTGCATTCTTTTTGTTTTTCTTATTTTACTTTACTGAGGATGTTTGCAAAGGGGTTATTCTTTTCAAAGTCTATATCACAACACTATGCAGTAAGACAGAGTTTAAAAAAACCACTCAGTGTAGACAAAGATATATGACTGTCTTATGTGAATAATGTATAGTCCATTGGTTCTGAGAGGGTAAATTATGTCAGTTGTGTTTTCTTTGCCCATTTTTCTCATTGTGTTTAGTGTGGCTACTTTCTGCTGCTCACAAAGGTGTTAAGAACTAGAAACCCTGCAAAAGAACTCTAAAGCTCTGTACTCAGCTTGGAAAATTGAATAAAGATGATGATGATGATGAAAAAGTCAAAATAAATCTAACAGAAAACAAATGTATGTTTAAATACATCATTCTACACGACCCATTCTAATTCATCCCTTCACTCATACATCTTTTTTTTCTCCATTTAGATCACAAGTCTGTTATGGCCTTGCCATCTTACCTGACTGTTCACTGTATAATAAAATATAGAAATAATAAGATATTAGAATAATAATCCCAAAGTGTTCTTTTGACAAACACACAGAGAAAAGCTAAAGGAGACAAATATGTTCTAGCCATATTAATGCTAGAGCAAGTGTGTTAGGTCATTGTCAATTCTGATTGTCCATCAAACAGGCTATAAAGTTTCTTTTCTGGGTTCAGTAACATATCAAAAAGGGACAGGAATCATTTCCTACCTTTTAAGTCATGAAAAAAAATCAAAAAGAAGACTGAGTCATCTAGCTATTTCAGCTCCATTATTGTTATAAATATGCTCCCTGAACCCCACTGACATAGTGTGCAAGTGTTTAATGGTTTTCAACGTGTTTATTTTCAAGTGAAGTCAACCACTGATACACAGAGAGCTGTGTACTATGCTAAGTGTCTCAAAGGAATCATGAGGTAGATGAGGGAATTGAAACTGGGTCTCTCAGAACATTGATTTAATTATTAGACTATCCTTTCTCCAAACCTACCTGGTTTTTGTTGGGGTTTTTTTTTTTAACAAAATGCCCCCAGGATCAGTACAAGCCAGAGATAAATGCATCAGCAGTCAGAGGATAGGTAGAAGTTAATCCCATGCAAAGAATCGTCTTGGATGTTAATTTTTTTTTCCCACACACCAATTTTAGGCAGTCATCGCTCAGTTCAAAAGGATTCTTCATTTCTTCAATATGTGTTTCATAAAGCATAAGAACATACAATACAGTATTGCTAGCAAGCACTTGAAACTGATCTTAATGAATGGTATTGTCTTGAGAGAGATGATTCAGGGACTTCAGCTGTGTAGGTCATCTCAGAAAGAAAGAAGAGTGTATATAACTATGCCAGTTTATAGAATCATGGAATCATAGAAAATTAAGGTTAGATGAGACCTCAGGACGTCATCTAGTATTCTAGTCCAATCCCCTGCTCAAAGCAGGACCATTCCCAACTAGATCATCCCAGCCAAGGCTTTCTATAGCCAGGTCTTAAAAACCTCTAAGGATGGAGTGTCCACAACCTCACTGGGTAACTAGTTCCAGTGTTTTATTAACTTTCTAGTGAGAAAGTTTTTCTTAATAGCTAACCTAAACTTCCCTTGCTGCAGCTTGAGACCATTGCTCCTTGTTCTGTTGTCTTCCACCATTGAAAACTGTCCAGCTCCATCCTCTTTAGAACCACCCGTTAGGTACAGTTGAAGCCTGCTATTAACTCCCCCCTCAGTCTTCTCTTCTCCGGAATTAATATGCCCAGTTCCCTCATCCTCTCCTTATAAGGCATGTGCCCAAACCCCTTAACCATTTTTGTTGCTACCCACTGAATTCTCTCCAATTTGTCCACATTCTTTCTGGGCGGCGGGGGGGAGGTGGGAAGGACGGACTGGATACAGTACTCCTGATGTGGCCTCAACCAGTGCAGAATAGAGGGAAATAATCACTTGCCCAGTCTGCTGGCAATGCTCCAACTAATGAAGCCCAGTATGCTGTTAGCCTTCTTCACAACAAGGGCATGCTGTTGGCTCATATTCAGCTTAATGTCCATTGTAACCCCAAATCCTTTTCAGCAGAGCTTCTGCTTAGCCAGTTGATCCTCTGCCTGTAGTGGTGCATGGGATTTTTCTGTCCTATGTGCAGGGCTTTGCACTTGTCCTTATTGAAGCTCATGAGATCTTTTTTGGTTCAATCCTCCACTTCCTCTAGGTCTTTCTGAATCCTAACCCTATCCTTCAGTATATCTACTACTACCCCCCGCCCCAACAGTTTGGTGTCATCTGGAACTTGCTGAGGGTGCACTCTGTCCCATCTTTTCTATGATTCTATCATCTTGCAAGGTCACTAATGAAAATATTGAACAAACCAGGCTCCAGGACTGACCACTGCGGCACTCCACTTGATACTAGCTGACAATTAGACAATGAGCCATTAACTACTACCCTCTGAGCCTGATGATCCAGCCAGTTTTCTAGCCAGTTTAAGTCAATTCATCCAACCTATACTTCTTTAGCTTGCTTGCGAGACTGTTTTCAGAGACCATATCAAAAGCCTTGTAAAGTTAAGGTATATCATGTCTAGTGCTCTCCCTGCATCCACAGAGTCAATCATCAGATCATAGAAGGCAATCAAGTTGGCCAGGCATGACTTGCCCTTGGTGAATCTATCCTGACTGTTCTTAATGACCTTCTTCTCCTCCAAGTGCTAAAACACAGATTTCTTGAGGACCTGCTATATGATTGGTATACAAGAGCCAGACTGCACTGACATATAAATGAATGTTTACATGCTAAACTAAAAATTGTGGAATGAAGGTAGCCAGGGTACTCAGTCATGTATATAAAACAGTTTGATTCCAAAAATATTACATTTAGTTAATTCTTCCAAGTTAAACAAGCTTACCTCTCATACTGCGAATCTCCTTAGTGTGGTTTTCCCAAGACAGAAAGCTATATCCCACTGTGCTGTTCTTATATTTGAACAATGATACTCATGATTATACTGAGTTTGGAAGTCTCCAAAGGGTTAAGGGAAACAATGTAAAACTAGATAATGGTGCTTACCAGAGGGACAAGGCTAGTTCTCAACATTGTAATGAAGCTTATGAGTTGCTTGTTTTTTATATTAATATTCATTGGATTTAATTGTTCAAAACCTCTTTGTTCTGAGTAAAAGCACTGGGAATTTTGTTAACACATTTCACAGAACTAGAATCAAACCCTAATCATTCAGACCACAATTGAAATCCAACTCTCATTAAGATTATTTCTTTTTCTACAGACAGAATTTTTTATTAGCATCCTAAAATTAGGTGCCAATTTGCCTCATCACTTTGTTAACCTTGCATTTTTTTGCTAGCCTACAGACTTGTAGGCTGACTGCTAAAAGTGAGCTAGTTTCTCTTGTAGTATGTATTGAGGTAGCTCTTTTAACATTAAGCTGAGGTTGCTTTGCACCAGCTGGAAACATGGCCTAGCATTTTGAACCGTACTAAGTTTATTAACCACAGGCCACATCCATGAGCTGATCTTGTGGTTTTTTCTAAATACACTTGTGAGAGGGAACTTGTGTGATCAAGGTTTACAAATAATGAAGACATTACTTTTGGATATTTCTCTAATTTTTTTGCAGAAACTACTGAAGTGACTTATTTGATCATGGAAATCTTTTTCTGAGTACGATGCACATTTGTTTTAAACTGGTTATAAAATCACTCTATTATTTCAAAGAAAGACTTCTACCAGTTGTGTCAAAATCACATATTCATCTGCCATTTTGTCTGTCTTCAAATATAAAAATGAATCTTGTTAATGTAATTATGAAAGCTTAACTATTTACTAAATATATACATGAATTTGTATGAAAACTATTGCAATGTACTGGTAGTATGTTTGAAAACTACCTTTGAATACTACCTTTTGATGGAGTTAAATTACTCACCTGTACATCATAGCCCCTATTCTGTTAATAGAAACTCTGCTTTAAAGTTGTAGTGGTCTGTGAGGTCTGAAGTACAGCCACAGTTCTGTCCACAGTCATTTTACATTCCCAGTGTTCAGTGTAAAGAGAACAATATACCATACTTTCTTGCATA